CTTTAGAATAATAAAGGAGAAATATGGCTGCCAAAGAATGTTCAGGAGTTGCACTTTTAACAGGAAGTGAAAAAGAACCTCATAGCAAACACACTAAATTGAAAAATTAGAGAAAATAGATGAACACAACAGAGAAAAATGAAAGAAATTTTAAACCTAATTTTAAAATCCTGACTTACCCTAATTGTTACAAATTTTGTCACATATATTCTAGACAGTTTACAAAATAAATAACATTAGCTTTATATTTGGAAAAATTTAAAACAATAGTCTTAAAAGGAATCTAATAACTTAGACCAGTGGTTCTCAAATATGTTTCATTACTTCAGATGAGCTGGTGTTTAAAAATACTTCATTTGGGGGCTATGACTCAGTGGTAGAGTGCATGCTGAGATGAACAAGGCTTGGGTCCAATTCCCAGCATCAAAAATATATAAACAACTTTATTTTTGATAGCCTTACCTACATTAGAAAGGTATAATGTTCAGAAAGAAAGGCATTAAGAGGAAGTAAAACACTGGTTAAAATCTGGCTAAAAATGCCAAAATGAACACAATATAAATGATACAATGAAACTATAGAAAATAAAGTGTGTTCTCACCTGCCCGTCCATCACTCCCAACAAAGTGGATTCCATCCACTGTACAGGTTCAATGAAATAAGATGTACATTGAGCCCGATTCCCTGTGGCAAGCAGGAAAGAGGGTGTCATTCTCTTGTGGGCAAAGGCTAGAGGCCTGCTTCCTTGGTTATGATCCAAAATGCTAGAACTTCGAAATAAGGATCGCCTGCATGTTCTACATTTGTAGAGAACTTCATCTTTTAATCCTTGTGAAATGGTAGTTGGATCAACAGCAAAGAGTTCTTGAGGTAGATTGTGCAGTTCTGGATACTTGTCTGTGAACTTTTGTAAGCGATATTGCTTATAAATCGCACTGGAGGCACCCACTTCATATCCCATTGCCTGGTATGATTCCAGTTGATATTCAAACCCCTCATTCATCTTAGCTCCAGGTTTGATAGTCTGTAGATTCTCATAGGCTTTTTCAAAGGTAAGGCGGTCAGTCTTCATCAAAAAGCAGTCACTATAGCAACACTTCGACTGATGCCTGCCTGCGTGGCTGAAAAAGAGACCAGCCTCGCGGATGCAGGCCACGCACCCATCCAGACGGCTGAGCCAGTCGGTCTCGGGTTGTCCAGGGCTGCCACCAAGAGGCTCCGT